GGGGGGGGGGGGGGGGGGGGGGGGGGGGGGGGGGGGGGGGGGGGGGGGGGTGAGGCTATGACGGGGGAAAGCGGAGAGAGGAGGGCACTACTTGGAGGCGTGTACAGTCCCGTAGACCCGAGGTTTTGGACGCGCGGGGAAATACGCACGAGGAGGCGGAGGAGGGGGAGGGGGGGCATGCAAGAACGTATGTCTCCTCGCTGGCGCTGCTGGTGTGTGTGCCGTTCTCCACATGGCGCTCCCGCCACCCGCCACCGGCGTCGATAGGGCACGAGAAACCAACCCACCTCTCCCACAATCAGACCGAGACGCGAGCCCAATGGCCAACCACCGTAGGTGACATGATGACACAAGGTATCACACACCCCTGGCCCGATTTTCAAGGCTCGATTACTCGGCAGGAAAAGCAGTGAGACAGTGCCGAACATGGCGGAGTTGGAACCGCCTCGTCGAGTGCTTTTTGACAACATATCCTCTGATTTCAGCATACTCTTCGCCGTGAAGCAATGACGCTTTGAAAAACGTTCCAGGAGGGACTATTTTGTGCCATGTCACCTACGGTTATCCCCCCCTCCCCTACCCCACAAAAATACGACACAATCACGACGCACAACACGAACCCAAATTAACGCGAACACAAAGATGGCGCACGAAAAAAAACAAAAACAAAAGAGCCACGGTGATTAACCCCCTCCTGTGTGACCCTGGACGGTTGTAGTCGTACGAAAATATACACTGAAAAGTGGTAGCACTCTACGTCTCACCACGAAAAATGGAGTGACTGTCGCCACAATAAACAGGACGAACACACAGACAACGGATCCTTTGATTTCAGCATCCTTTTCGTGGTGGAATAATGAAGCTTCGAAAATTGTTCCAGGGCGTTCGGTTTATCTTTTTCATCCTACGGTAACCCCCCCCTATAGATACGACACAACCAAACGGTACAACACGAACCCGCAATAACGCCAACATAATAAAGATGTATGAATCCCCGCCGAACGGAAACACAGTTAGACCCTGGGGTTACCCCTATTTTGAGGCCGAAAATGTGTCCCAAACCAGGTGAACTTTTCTTGGCAAAAAGACTGCGCTTTTCCTTCTTGGACCAATAAAAACGTTCGGAATTTGAATCAAAATAAAAAGACACACGAACACACACGAACAGACTGGACAAATATGGTCAAGCGCGTTCACGCAGCAATGCGCGAGGTGGACACCCGTCACTGCGCTCACTGAGGCTGCTGGCACACACAAAAAGCCAGTACCCCACAGCCCGACCGGTCATAGATGGCGGACCCCACCGGTTCGACGGCGAACCCGCCCGCATCGACGGCGGACCCGCCCGTTCTGTTGCCGAAAAAAAGAAAAAGGGCAACGGGCAAACAGCAGGGCGGTTGTGAGAGCGGGAAAACAAAAAAAATGCGCGCTGCTGCTGCTCCTGCTGTATTTTCTCGCTCTCAACACCAAGTCTGTCGATGATAGCAGCTGCATGCAGCTTCGCCTGCCTCTCTTGGTATCGTCCTGCTTATGTTGGTTCTATCAACCTGTAGGACTCGGAGGCATACGAAGTAGTCGCACTAGAAGGGAACAGCAAAGCCAAAAACACACGAGGGCAAAGACACACACACACGCACGCACGCACCTTTTTCTTCAAATTAGCATTTCTCGTCTCGGCAACCTTTCCCCACGCCGACGCCGCCTCCAGCTCCCTCCTCGCTTGCTCTACCTCCATCCGGGTGCGGATGAGCTGGTCTTTCGCGGAAAGCAGCGGATTCCGGTTGTGCTGCTGTTGCTGCACCGCCATCACGCTTGCCGCTTGTGGACAAAAAATCTCAACCATCTCGCGCTGTTGATCTTGAAGCATTTTTTTCTCCAACCGCAAGTTTCCCAGCTGGGTCAGGACGATCGCCACCGCCTCTCCATCAGCAGCCCTCTGCTGCTGCCTCTGATGCTCCGAGGCCTGCTCGCGTGCGATCGCTGCTTGCGCCCGTTGCTCCGCCTCGATTCTACGTCGCTGCTCCTCCCCAAGCTCCTTCTTCAGATCGGCGCGCAGGACTCGCTCTCGCGCCAACAGTTGTCGCTCCTCTTCTGCGGCCTGCTCCGCCGATTTGCGGACTCGAGCCTCTCTACGCTTCGCCAACTGAGCTTTTTTGAGTTTCTCGAGGGTAGCAGCGGCCGTACGCTTCAGGGTAGGGTAGTCGGCCTTCTCGGCAGCCTTGCGTGCGCGCCCAGCCGTCGCTGCGTCCGCAAACGTGCATCCTTCTCTCTCGAGAAGAGAAGTCGTGAAGTTTTTGAAGATTTTTTTTTTGGACTTGACGCGACCCTTGTTTCTACCACCGCCCTTAGCTATAGGAGGTGATCTGGTAATCAATGCCACTCGTCGGCTTCTAGGTCAATCGGGGATCGGTGTTTTTAGCTGTGTGCGCAGAAACCAGAGCTAGAGAAGTAGCGAAGGCGATTTTTGACCCTCGTCTCGGTATTCGCGCCGGCTGCGTCAACAGCCGAAATTTCCGTCGTTTCGGGATTTTTCAACCACCAAACGGAAATCGGCTTCGCTACTTCTCTAGCTATAGCATAATTACAGGTGATTGTAGATTGAGAATAGCCATCTCCTCGCCGTCTTCGCACATTTTTGATTGCCAGTTCCTTGTCTTTGCTCAAGTAAGTAGGACTGCTGTCTGTGTGCCCCCTTCAAACAAAAAAAAAACAAAATCTATTCGCAGCATGCCGTTTTTTGTTGCTCCGCAGGGGGGGTAACCCCAGGGTCTAACCAGTTCCCACCCGCACTGAGACTGACGCTATTTTTTCAATGGTCAGCCGGTTAGCGCGGTCGATGCAAATAATAAACACACACACAAAGATGTACTTCGAATCCCGAACGGGAACACACCAGAACAAAACACCCACCTTCGGCACGACGGCGAGGCGTTCCCCGTCCTTCGCGTCGGACCCGTCACCCACTAGCCCCTTGAGGGAGGTGGTCTGGATCTCGCTGTTGAGGGCCCACACCACCTTGCCCGTGTGTGTGTCCAGGGAGGCCACCGGCATCTCGTGCCCGAGCTTGAGCACCACTGTCCCCTCGTCGAAGCCGATGGCCACCTGACGGCGAGATAGCACAGCACAGGCAGGCGTGTTTTCTACGTCATTATTTTCAGCTGCAACTTGTCTCGTTATGAAAAAAATTACACGTTCCACTGACAACGTGGCCTTCTTTTTCGATGTGTACACAAAGAACAAAAAACAAAGTCATATCTGGCAGAGGCGTTTCTTCGCGAAGTTTCTAGCTCACTACATATGACAAGAACGGAAAACAATTTCACCTCCACCGACACAGCGCCTAGGACAAACTAGATAGCAACGAATTTTGTTCTATCCACACATGGAAGGGTGCAATTCGTGACGGCCTTGTGTGCTTGTGGGCAAGATTGGTGATGGCAGTCACGTACTAGTCAGGGAGCGGCCGGTCCCTATTGTTTTAAGATTAAAAAACAACAATTTAGGGATCCCTCTTGTTGGAAGAGTATGGACGTGGAGCAAGCGAGGGCAAAACAGGTAAGACCCCTGCTGGACACAACCAAAACTCGGCATTGACTGTAACAAGGGAACCCAAGAGCACCAGCACCCACGCCACGACGAATAGCGGCGACTACAACTACAGCAACAGCAACAACAACAACAACAACAACAACAACAACAACAACAACAACATAAAGGACAGGTCACCTTGTTGTTGTCGGGGGAGGCAGCCAAGGCCCATACCCTCTCCATGCCGTAGTTCAGAGTCGTCTCCGCTCGGTACGTCGTCGAGTGCCTGCCCCATGATCAAGAAAAGATGCAGCAGTTTCGCTTCAACGTCAGAAACAGGCAGAGCAGTCGCTTCTGCGATAAACAAAGGTACAACAGGAGTTCGTTTCGACGCTGAAAACAAAAGGTACAGCGGTTGATTCGACGTCCAAAACAGGTACAGAGCAGCCGCTTCGAGAGTCAACAGGGAGTTTTTGCGTCAGTGCCTGCCCCGTGGTTCACGAGGTGACGCAGCAGAACACGTCCACAACTATACAACGCTTACAAAATTGAATAACGGGAGTGGGGGGGGGGGGNGGGGGGGGGGGGGGGGGGGCTCCTATGTTTTGCACGCCTTAGCGGTGACACCATTGACAACGCGTCGTCCTCGAGAGGACGGAGCATTGTCACCACAGGACCGACCACCAATGGTCAATCACTCCTTCCGACTTTGGGGGGGGTATCTAATTTGATATATTTCAATCTTGAAGATTTTGTTTTGGGGGGGAAGACGTACGTGTGCAGGCAGATGGTGCCCGCCTCGCCGGTGGCAACGATGGCCGCCTGTTACTACATAGAAACTGAAGAAAATATTTAGCTTTGAATCGTGCGTTTTGCAACTTCGGTATCGGGGGAAGACAAACAACTACCGTGCAGCTCATGTGTGTGTGTTGTCTTCGTGTTTAATGTGTTCTTAACAACGTTTTGGGCATGTAGACAAGACACAAGATACATGCGTTGCGACGGGCCGCTCACCACAGGCGGATGGTGCCATCCTCCCCCGCGGAGACGATGATGGGGAGGCGCTTGTGAAAGAGCACGGCGGAGACGTTGTTGGTGTGCCCCTCCAGGGTCTGCACGCACGTCTTGGTCTGGTAGTCCCAGATCTTAACCGTGCGGTCGTCGGAGCCTTACAGAGAGGAGAGAGAGGGAGCGGAGAGAGAGGGAGCGGGGGGAAAGGTGGGGAGAGAGACAGCATAAGAAGAGGGACGAAGGGGAGAGAGAGAGAAGGAGGGAGGGAAGGAGAGAGGGAGACAGAGAGGGAAAGAGGGAGAGATGGAGAGAGGGAGAGAGGAACGGGGTGAGCGAAACAACAAGGGCCGGCGGGCGGAGAGAGGGAGGGAAGGGAGTGAGCACACAAACAAGGGCAAGGATTGATAAATACGTCGACACAACATTGAAGAAAAACAAACAAACGAAACAGTGGGCGAAAACCGAGGCCTACATACAACCATGAGCTTAGGAGCTCGTCCCAATATGTTGACGTCGTCGCCTCCAGGCCGCTGCACAGCAGCCGATCCTCTCCCGCCACGACCACCAAGCCCGCAGCGAAAGTCGGCAGGCAAACGGGGCTCTCGCTGGCTGGCACGGCCGGCGAGCAAATTCGCACAACCCCCGAGTCCTATTGGCCATCGGCGATCGGCCCCGTGGGGACAACAATGCTCAGTCCTTATCGAGAACGCGTGGCCAATGGTCTCAACAGCTGACGCATGAGTACGCCCCCCTCCGGCCACTTCGAAAGGCTCACACGAACGGCGATGTGAGAAAGATGCACGCACTAACTTGGCTACCTTCTGCCGGTATTAATGCCGCCCCCCCGGTGATTGCCACCCCCCCCCCCCC